ACATACAAGTATATATAGTTCGAAGGACTATCCAGTGCTCCTTTTTCACAGATTTGAGTTGTATTAATTCAGGGATTCCAAAATGGATTCACCGGTGCCGTTCAGCAAAGCACTTTTCTGTTGACAAGTTGTTTCATGACGAAATATAAGGGCAGAACAGAAGCATCAAGGCATCATCAAGTAATATATTGCCCTTTCACTCCCACGCTTTATATCAAACGCTTAAATGGGAAACCAACGTGTTCCATTTGTCAATAATTGGTAAGTGTATCGATGAACATATGAAATAGTACTATTTCCAAATAATACGCGTAACAGTCACTATGAGTAACGTTTTCTTTGTATTATGGTTAGCACTTGTGAAGAATTGAAAATTGTTTATAGGAACAGGCTAAGACACCGAAATAGATGATAAGGAAATTGCCATTTAGTACTGTATTGAAGTACCACGCAAAAGGTATGCGATAGTATAATTATATAGTGTAAGTAGAAACAAGTGAGCATTAGTCGATTGGTGTTGTTCGTATCTTACTGATTTCAATAGAACATGCGCCATTGTTTACAGGAATTATAATTGTAGATAAACAGACTAGCTGAGTAAAATACGAGGGTCTAGTTACGAAAGGTTGTTACAGCTCAGTCCTAAGTAGACGTACGCACTGGGGGATGAATGTTAGCTGTGCATATTTTTTTTTAATAAATCAGTCTGTTTGGTCTTTTTTGCCTGCCGTTACATAGAGTCCTTTTCATTCCCATCTGAGTTTCATTGGGGTAGCAGAGTCCCATACGATTTCCATGGATGGAGTCCCATTTGAGCTATAATTAGGATGCGAACGGACTCCGATGGGATTCCCATGGAACTCCAGTTGAATCGTGCTGGGACCTCAGTATGCCTCAAATGGAACGGCTTCGTGGACCGGGCAACTACTGAAATCAGTAATAAATTACAATGTTGACAGTCACTTCAGAAATCCACTAAACAGTATCTCGTTTATTGTATCCAGTATACCGCTTTAAGGTACAATTGTGTTGGATTCAGAGATTGTTTAAACTTTCTAATAATGACTAGTGTATTGTCACGGCTATTTATTTCTCACTTGGCTGTGCACAAAATTTAACATAAGGCTTTTAAAAGGATTTTAGATTGATTGTCGAGAAGAGACCAATGCGGCATGCATGCTGCATGACCTTTTCTTACCAGTCATCGAATTGTCCGCTGAGGGACACCAGTGACTGTTTCCTGAACATCCTTGCTTGCCCAGATGTATACCCGAGTAAAACCTATTACCAGTAGTTACGGGGTAAAATTTCTTACCGGGATACAAATGAACCGAACTTTAAAGTAAAATTGCCTTTACAAGCCACCATAGATTCGTTTGAACCGATTGGATTCTGGTCTGATTGATCGATAGTAACAACGAAACTCTTCTCAACTAACAACAATCGTATACAAATGCGATTCTCATCGGAATCTTTTCAAAATAACACATAGAATTGATAGTTACAATGAGCAACAGCTATACAGTGGATCCACTGGGAAAAAGAAACTGGGGGCATGTCCATAGGTCAATTCATGTATGCGGTTGTGTTCTTTAGTCCCTCTGGTGAAAAGATTACAACTCGACTAATACACTAGTGTGTTCACGCTACTAAAATATTACCAGTGTTCCACGAAGGCACAACTTTAAATAGTTCCGTGTCCTTTTAGATGAAAAGAACGAAATCGACTACGAATTAGCACGGAAATAGATGGCTCATGTCGCCCATTTACATAGAGCATCACTATCTTTATGTTTAAATAATTATCACATGTGAGCTTTACCAGATTTTACCGTTTGCCATCATATTTCCTTGCTAGCAAAAGTGCATCCAGAATTCAAATCTGGTGCTCCCAGGGTGTGAACATGGTACATCTTTTTGCACTTTAACTCCAACTGAACAAACGACCTTATAGATCCGCTATTCTTTAAACTCCTAAAGACCGAACATTAAGACATAAACTTATCCACCCTCAAATTGACGCGAATAATGCCCCACCCCTGTCCCACTATCTCTATCTTTTACCCAATATAGCCTATTCCTAAAAATAAAACTTAAGTTCCATGTTACAATAAAAACATTTTTCTTACTTAACTAAGAGGCCCGGAACCCGCTTCTACTATACGCATTAACCTTTACATACTGGTTTTAGGAATATGTGCATGCAAATAAAAGCAAAAGGAGACAGCAGACAAGTTTCAGTTTTCAGTTCGAACAACCATTAACCATGCACTTTCGTGCCCCGGTTTTGGTTGCTGTCCTTTGGCTGCCCATTGGGATGAAGAATAGGAGAAGACAGGAAAGTTGAAGGTGGATTCGAAAGGAAAATGGAGAAGTTCAGTGGACTAAGGTTGGGA